GTGACATGTATTACTTTTATAATCAGAACAATAAATGCAATTCTAAAATAGATGCGCAGCTGAGATCGTTGATTCTGGGGGAGGGTGGGGTGTTAGATTGTGTCACGCATTTCTTGGAGTCATTTTAAGCTCAAGTCATTCACTCACTCAGTAAACAATTTTGAACTACTACCAACTATTGGTCCCTATTCCATGCCAGATATAATAATTGGTTTTGCAGACTCTTGAGGAGTGTGCGGAGATGGTAAAATGGCTCTCACAGGTACAGGATGCAAGTAAAGTCAACAATAGGTGATAGATGCTAGAGCAATAGCCCTAAGAAAGTACTATAAGCATATCAGGACAGAAGAGCTTACTGCGTCAGTCTGAGTCAGATAGATCACAAGAATAGACTTTATTTGAACTTCATTAACTGAGTCCCTCAAGGAAATGTCTGTCTGATTTAGAGCTGGTTTCTGTCACTTCAGCTTTTGAACAGGGGGGATATAAAAGACTGTTATAGACTATAAAAGACTATACGCGACGGCAAACTTTTAATCTTCAAACTGTAGTTGAACAGTATGGTTCAGAAAGCATGTTAATGAGCATTTGTTATGTTCTGCTCCTAAGGGAAGGAAAGGTGAGCAAAACAAGAGTCTTTCTCTCAGGAAGCTCGGAGTCCAAATCAAATGTTTTTCTGTCTTGTGTAATATGGACACGTGATAATTTCTTCCAAAATTTTTGTTTAACACAAGAAAATAAAAACTAGAAAACACATTGTTTTCCTTCGTTTGTTTTGGCTGTGTGGAATGTTACAGCATAAATCATGGATATTAGTCCAGATATTTGTACTACTTACTTATTTTGATAAAAATTTCTATTAATTAAAATGGCTTTCTTGTTTTCTGAAAAGGACGCAGGTGATAAATCGTAAATTAAAATTACATAAATGCATTTGTCATTTAATTATGACTCAACTTCTACATAAAAACAAAGAAAATGTTTGGTAAGAGAAATAAAGTTTAAAATGAATATTCCTCATTGGTGACTTAAATTGTTTCATTTTTCCAAAGCAAGTTACATTTCTTTCAATAACTAAATTCTTTTTAAAGTTCAACATGCAAGGTTACTCGTAGATGAGCATGTGATGAAATAAAGTGAAGAAGACAAAAACGGGCTGGGCAGTGGTAGGAATGCTGCTTGTTGTGTGGACAAACTAACAAGCATGCAAATCCCATTATCTACACTTGTTGGCTTTGACATTCAACTGGTGCAGCAAAGGGCAAAGGTTAAGGTACTCTAGGATGTTCTTCTTTCATCTAAAAGAGTAAGTACGTATTTTTTTTCTTGAATACATTCTAAAATAAGTCTTGAATTTAATGATTTTTTTCTTTTTTCAGTTTATGAGAACTTCATTTTTCCTAAGCAATCTGGATAACCAACTGGTTGAATGAAGCACAATTTATTCATAAAAAGTATGCATATCATACAAATATATGAAATTATATATTTAAAATAGATATAAAATTAATGTTTGATTCAAGAAGTATTCTACTTAAAGCTGTATGATACAAAGATTTTTTGTTTGAATGTATGTGATCAAATGTGTAAATAATTCATAGTAAAGTATGGGAAAGAAGGTTTACTGTGGTTGCAACAATAAGAATTTTTTAGGATTGTATATTGGAGGGTAAGAATAAAAATGCAGCACGATAACTAAATACAGTATGGCTGTAATTCCATATAAATGACTTCATTCTAATTATCCAGCCTTGTATCCTAGTGGAATATGAATTTTATAGTAATGACTGATTTTTAGAAATAATGTCATTTAAAATTTTTCTAAGTCAAAAAATTATTTTCTCTTAAACTGCTAAAACTATTTTTCCTGGTTCTGACATGTAGAAATAAATCTGCCAGTTTCTTTCCCTTAAAAAGTTCATTTTCCAAATCAAGCACCGGAAGCCACACACACTTCTCATATAAATACTTCTCAGTTTGCAGCGAGTCTAGATTCAGACCTTGAGCACTGACCCTTCCTTCTATGGTGGCATCCCAGCCACTGCCAGAAGTCTGTTATTTCAGTAATGTTAGCCATGATTCAAAAATAAAATACCTATTCATGAATATAATCATATAAGCAGCTATTTGCTGTCTAAATCCTCCTTTTCTTTTCCAATGTTCAAACATCCAGAGGGATCAAAACCACTGAATTCTCTCAAATCCTTCAAGTTTTCTAGGTGTAATTTCAAAGTCACCAGAGATACATACCAGGTTTCTTTCAGGTATTAACTAATTGTTCACTGTCTTGTCATTCAGCAAAAGCGGATAGGAGTTGGTAAACTGTCAGATCTCAGGTGCTTACTATAGAAATGGCCATAACAGACTCCATGGGAATTTTCTGCTTGTTATGGGGAACTCCTTTAGTTTTGAGATTTTTTTCCTTCTTGTTTCAGTCATTTATCTTATATACATAGCAGCCAGAGAGTGATCTTTTAGAAGTGTTAATTAAATATTACTGAGCTCTGGTTTTAAAACATTCTAATGAATCGGCAGTGCATTGAAAATAGAATAAAAACTCTTTACCATGACTTTTAAGACCCACTGAGATCTGAGTTCTACCAGCTCCCTGACTTCATCTCACACATTTGCCCCTCCTTTCCCAAGCCTTGAAAATGGCAAGTACATTCTTGTGTAAGACTCTTTGCACCAGCTGTTCCCAATACCTAGAGTGTGATTCCCCAGATCTTATTCTTACTGGCTCCCTTCTATCACCCAGGTTTGGGATCAAACATAAACTCAGTAAAACATTTAGTTCAGGGGTGTCAATCTTATTTTCAGTGGGGCCACATTAGCCTCGAGGTTGCCTTCAAATGGCCAAAATAATTTTAGGACTATATAAATGTAACTACTCCTTAACTGTTAAGGAGTTGAAATTATACTTGGCCCTTTGAAGGCAACTGCAAGGCTGATGTGGCGCCAGCTCAAAATGAGTTTGACACCCCTGCTCTAGTTTCTATATCCCTTTCAAAGTAGTGCCTCTTTCCCCCACAAGTCACTATTATTACTACTGCATTATTTTTATTCACTGCAATTATGATTATCAGAAATAATGTTATTTGTTTTTCTTTTTAATGTTATGTCAGGGATCTTGTACATCTTCAGAGCTGCATACCTGGTGCCAGTATAGTGCCTGGCACAAAGAAGGCCTTAACATCATTGCAATATCTACACAACATGAATGTCTTCAGCTCTCCTAACTCTCAAGCAAAACCAGCTCTTGCAAGTACTTTGCAAAGTGACCAGCAGGATTTTTTTTTTCTTGGTAGTAGGAAACTGTGGGAATATTGACTTTTTTCCAACTTTGAAGGAACATGAAATGCATTTTTTTCTGTCATTAAAAATCTTTTTGGACAATTCATAAGGGCTTTGTATCAAGAATAATTCCACTGCTCTCCTAGCTTAGCTGAACCTAGCACATTAGAAAAAATTATACCTTACCACGGATGAAGAGAAACACTTCATAAATAAGCAGAGAAAATACTAATGCACACATGTCGACCTTCTCACAACATCAAATCCAGCAAGAATACATTCAAATCTCTTCTAGGGCAGCGAATAATGCAATGTTGTTGGAAACATTCAAGGCTCTGTAACTGACCCTGAGAATGAACTCTTAAGAGAAAATAACCTTACAATGCTGTGTTCTGAAGTCAAGATATAAACAAAGAAACAAACAAAATATGGAGCAAAATAAAATGCATTAAATACAAAAGAAACATACATAATGGGTTCCTTGGACATGCCTGAGTGTGCTTGTGTAAGGCAAGTAGAGAGATGGGGCAGAATGGCTGGCTACCTAACTTGCTTCGCCCACTTCAAAATGAAAAATAAAAAATGCCTTGACTGTCACAGGCAGCAGACCATGTGGCACAGCATTACAGCCAGCAGGGGCCTTCTGAGGTCAAGGCCCTCACAATCATGAAGCCTACCCTAGTGAGGAGATTATTAGAATTTATCTTCAAGGTCTGGGAATCAGCCCCCACTCCCTCACCACCTCCAAACAACAGCAACGAGGAACATGATCACAATTAGAGTGGATGGCGCCTGACTTTGATAGTGGTGGCTTTGGACGGAGCTGGGGCCACCACTCCTACAAAGCCGACTTTGGAGTGATAGAAGAAAGAAAACAGTCTTTTAGGCACCAGAACTAGACCCTCCAGATACAGAGGAAAAGGTAGAAGGAAACAGGCCGAGTTAGATTGTCCTCCTGCCTTTATGGAGACAGTACCTTTTTTTTTTAAAAAATTTTTTAAAAGAGGTCTTCTGAATCCAGCCACCGTGTCTACCTCATGCCTTAGGAGTTGCGGTGGAGTAGGTGGGTATCAGGGTGTGTTAGAGAGACAAAAACCATAGAGATAGGTTTACATTTCCGTGGATTGGATTCCTACCCGTTCTGGCAACAAACCCCAGGGCTCCTAGAAGGAGCCAGGATGTAAGTGGGTTTCCTGGGACCCTGTTTTCATCTTCCCGTGACACTCCGAAGGTAACACCCAAGGGGAATTGCAGAGCTCGGCATCCTGGGACCCATCACAGATCACCTAATTAGTAGAAGTGCCAGTCCTTGGGCATTTGGAAGAGGCGGTAGGGTCTGCGGGAACCGGGAAGCGCAAGGCCAGGGGCAGTGAGTTGCAGAAAGCGCTCTCCGTCCCTTCCGTACGCAGTTGGACGGCCGGGCTAGCGGAGACAGGAGTCCCCTCGGGGAGGGACGTACCGCACCCGCGGAGGCGGCTCCCAGCCCGGGCGCTCGGTCCTGCCCAGACTAGTGGAGTTCAGGCCCCAAGAACCGCCGGCGGCAGGACGGCCACCCTGCACCCTGCGGCCACTGCGGCCGCTCCCCCACGCCCGCTCCTCCGTGGCAGCGCAGTGCCCGCCCCCAGCTCCCCCGCCCCGCCCCTCACGCCCCCTGCCCCGCCCCCCCGGCGCCCCGGCCCGGCTGACCTGCCGCCCTGTCCCTCCGAGCCCGAGCCCGCCGCGGCGGCTGCCGCTCCGCAGCAGCGCCTCCTTCGCGCGGCGCCCGCGCTCCCGGCGGCGCAATTCTCCCGCCTCGGCCATTTTCCCTCCTCCCTTTTCCCTCCAGAGCCTCAGACTCTAGTCCTCCCCCCGCGCGGGGACTTTTCCGGAAAGTTTTTATTTTCCGCCTTGGCTCTTGGAGTAGGACGCTCCCGGCTCCGCGGCAGCAGAACTTTTCAGCCACCCTCGGCTGCCCTCCGCGCGCCCGGCCAAGAGATGAGCGCCCCTCCGGCTCTGCGGCCGCCCAGCCCCTTGCTACCCGTGGCCGCGGCTGCGGCTGCAGCCGCCGCCGCGCTGGTCCCGGGGTCCGGGCCAGGGCCCGCGCCGTTCCTGGCTCCGGTCGCAGCCCCGGTCGGGGGCATCTCGTTCCATCTGCAGATCGGCCTGAGCCGCGAGCCGGTGCTCCTGCTGCAGGACTCGTCCGGGGACTACAGCCTGGCGCACGTCCGCGAGATGGCTTGCTCCATCGTCGACCAGAAGGTAAGGCGCGCTGCTCGGAACCCAGCCCCTTCCCTCCGAGCAGGGGGCGCTGCCCGCCCTCTGAGTCCGAGGGCTCAGCAGCGAGCTAGCCTCGCCGGCGCTCTGGGACAGTACTGGCACCCGCCGAGGTTGGACGGTGGCAACCGAAGCACAGCACTCTAGTTTTCCCTTGCCCCATCTTATATTTCTGATTTCTGTCCAGTCTGCATCGTCTTATCCATTTCCATTCCTCTCGGGATATTTCCAGGTATATTGCCCTTTTCTGGTCGCGCCTCTCCCTATCCTTAATACTTCCCGGCGCTCCCCTTTTTTCCCCCTGGACCAGCACATTCCTGGCGCGGAACCCTCCTTCCTGCACCAAAGTACCCCTGGGACGTGCTTAGCACGGTTTCAGCACCACTCCCTTCCACTCTAGGCCTCTCTCCAGCTCAGATTGATGCTGAGGAGTTCCTGGAATAATCTGGAGATGAGGAACTTCTCACCTGTCAAATAAGCTTTTAAGAGAGAATGATTGACTAGGCCAGCTGTGAAAACAACTGACTAGACCACAGCCACCCACCTCTACGTGAACATGGGAGCAAATTTTTCAACATACAGTCTGAAAGTTGCAGCTTTCTTGCTTTTCATCCTGGGTCACTGATAGTGGGATATTGGGAGTGGGAGCACAGGCATTTAAAGGGTTGGGGTACTGCGCTGGAGCACCCGGGAGACTGTACGCTCTAAGTTTTTAGCGTGGAACTTTGGACAGCGGCCATCAAAGGCAGGTTGGAAAAAGGGCGATTATCCTGGGCCAGGCCACCCGGGGAGGAGACCCAGCCCGCCTACCACTGTTAATAGTGCAATTCTGAATTTCAGGTTGTTTCTGTAGCCATCTGGAGGAATGTTGTATGGAGGAGGTGATAAGAGTATAAAGGAGAGGGGACCATGGCGCCAGTCCTTTTAGTGTAAACAGCCAGGGTTAGGGGGTGGAGACGGGTCTGCAAAGGTACTGAATTTCAACCCTGAAGGCTGGCTGGTACTTGCTTTATAAATATCACTTGAATAATCATGAATGCTTTCTTTAAACTTTTGGAATGGAGTTTGCTAAGCGCGAGTGTTGCATATTGTGGCATTCTACACAGGGATATTAGGAAAAGCCCCCAGGAAAAACCACTAATCTAGGAAGTTGTAAAAGTTCTGAAGCCTAGGCTAAGGTTAGCAGTGAGAGCCAGGGAATTTGTTTATTGGATGGAGTGATAGTTTATACTTCACGCGATTCAATTTTTTTTGTACGTTCCATGTAAATCACATATTTTCTCTGATTTTGGTACAAGTCATACCAGGGGCCTCCTCATTCTCAATGTTTTGAAAAGAATGTAGCAGGTGAGCAGGACCACAGTCCTAGGCACTGGAAGCCTTCCCTTAATGGAAGTTGTAGTCTACAACAATCTCTCTTAGGGTGCAAACCAGGAAATTAAAGAATACTGGATAAGCACCTAGATGATGTATAATAAAATATCCCCCAAAGCTAAAGCAATTGTATAGAATTTTAACTTACCTAAATTCTAAAGCAGGTGATAGGATTGTAGGAAATATTCAGATTGGGTCCAATTAACGTGGACAGGGCGTTTTGATCCATTTTAACACACACACCTTAATGTAGTTTAGGATGGGGAGAAACAGGTATGGTTCAAGAAGTTTGGGATTGGGATGTTGAATGGAGAGTGAATTCTGAATCTCAGTTATCTTAGTAGCTAGCAAGACAGAAGTTATATGGAGGGAGTGATATGGGCGCTGAGGGAGCGAGGCTATAGGCTCCTGTGGAACACAGTAGGCCTGAGGGGAGTGCCTAGGGTATTTCTCGAGAAAGTGTAATGATGAAAAGGCCTTGAAATGAAAAGGAGCTCAAATTACCAGAAGGCTTTGTAACCTTCTACATAGAGATATCAAACCAAGGACAGCTGAAAGATGGATGTGGAAGATGTTTTAGAATGCCAAAAATGTGATGGCAGGAAGAAAAGTGGAGTTCAGTCATGAGCTAATTGAGACTTGAGCCAAAGCTGGGGGTGGGGTGGGGTGGGCATGCCAGAGAAATACTGGAAAGGGAAAATCATCAGCCCTGGTGACTGACTTAAAAGGGAACCTCTTTTGTATTTATTCTAGTAGTTTTTCTGTCTTTAAAAGAAGAGTTTTGAAAAGTTTGACTGCTTGGGATAGCCAAGGTGAGATCTCACTTGCACTTTTATTTGTGAAGGTTATGGCAAGGGGGGAGAGAGATCCAGAGATGTGGATTTGAATTATTAATATTCAGGACACTCTTAAGTAAATATTTACAGGATGGTGTGTCTAGACAGGACTATTTCCATCTCTGCCTTCTATCATCTGTCCTGAGATACACTGTCACCCAGGGAGAAACAAGGCTGACAGAGCTGAAGGTCCGTCGTAGAATGGCAGGAAACTCTTTGCTTTGTGACAGTAGAAATGGCAGAGATGGTCAGTGTGGAGTTAAGGTAGGGAGAGGTGGTCCTTTGTCCCTTGACATCACATTCTCTTGGAGTACTTCGTGAAGGTAACAGTGTGAGGAAGAATGTTGGGAGAGAAGGAGAAGATGTGGGGAGTGAATGTTTTAGGAGAGCGCTGAGACTTTGAAGTCATTTACAATTTACTGTTTCGACAGACTGGAGTCATGTTGGTCTCAGCAGAGTCCTCCGCTTTCATTGTTCTATGATGCATTAAGAGGGTTTTCATATATGTTGGAGAGTTCCCTAAATACTAAGATCAGCCTAGCTTAAATCTTTGGAAGAATTAGCTGACAATTCAGTTTATTTCAGCAACATCCATGGGGCATTTTCTGTAGAATGAGCAGTTGAGGTGTATGTACAGGGCTTAGTAAGAGAGACCCTGTGTCCAAGAAACATCTTTAAGTTATTGTTGTTATTATTTAGAATTTAGACTATAGTTTTTCTTTATATAGATTTGAAAAGTGGCAGACATATGATTGTAACTTGAAAAATTTTGATGGTAAGTCAACATAAATATTCTTACTTAAACATAAAAGTACACTGTATACTAAGTATGTACTGAATTATATAACTAAATAATTCTTTTATCTTGAAGTTCAGATGAAAATTCTAGTTTTGCTTTTTGTATGTAACAATGTATGAATATGTAAGATGTAATTAATTCCTTCTTTTTTGGAAATATTTGCCCAACGTTATTTTTATATTATGCTTATTCTTTACTTTGCAAGCATGCAACCTTGAAGGCTGGTTGTATATAAAGAAATGTATTCTTAGTGTACATGATTATTGTTATTAAAAAAATAACAGTAATTGACTTCATTTTGAAACACTGTTACTTTCTATTATCAAAGGAACCTTGAATATATAGGCTAAGAAGGAAGTGTTTTGAAGCAAGGAACAGTATAGTCCAAAGGAGAAATTAGTTTGGTTTCAGAGTACACCAACTATCTCTACACACCTCCCCCCTCCAACCCTCACACACTTAAAAAAATAAACAGTATTAATTTAGGAATGTGGGATGCAGTTAATAGAAGGCGTATATTGCACTTTTGAATTTACTTAAATGGAGTACTAACATCAGTAAGACTCCTGGCATATGGATAGTTTCACTGTAATCATACATCTGGCCAAAGAAACTAAAGAGTGAGATTTTATTGAAGATAGCTCACTAAAGGAATGACCATGGTTAGTGCTTTGTTTTGAGAGCGGCTTCACTCTGCTTGTAGTTGTTTCTTTCATTTTCTTAATTGTAAATTGCTTTCTGAACAGTTGTAGTGCCATTTTTTAATTTATTGTTCATTTTAGCTGTTCTACTGCTACATAGCTTGAGAAAGCTGAAAGTAATTAGCCGCTTGACCCATCCAGCACACGTGGGACAACAAAGTCCTTTTAAGCTGGTGATGGTGTTTGGGCCTTGAATGTATATTCTTATTCTGATTCTGTATTTGTCATTATTGTGTCTATTGAGTTCTGATTTAATGATAAATATAGGATTTGTCATCTCATTAAGGGATTCTCAAGTAGTGTAACATTAATACTGTGTGTTTATAATCTTAAAGATTTTATATATTTATTTTTTTTTAGAGAGAGGGGAAGGAAAGGAGAAAGAGAGGGAGAGAAACATCAATGTGTTGGTGCCCCTCACATGCCCCCCAGCCGGGGACCTGGCCTGCAACCCAGGCATGTGTCCCAACTAGGAATTGAACCAGCGACCCTTTGGTTCACAGGCTGGTACTCTATCCACTGAGCTACACTAGCCAGGGCTATATATTTATAATTTTAATTTCTTTTCAACTTTAGTAGTATAATAGGATTATATTGTGGTATATGTGTAATGCCTATGTTTGATATATTATACACATATATAAAATATATAATGCATATACATGTATTATATTACCTAAGTTTCTAAATGTGTTTTGAAACATATTTTTAAAAGCCTAATTATCCACATATAACTGTCAAAAAGTGGGACCTCGTTATATATCTCATAATCCAAAAGAGAAGCTGTACTTTATATTTTTCTATCAGCACCCAGAACTAAAACCATTTTCTTACTGTTGTATACTGCTTAACAGTTTTCACAAGCCTAAGCCTGTGAAGTTAAAGGCATTCAACCTTACAGTCTTTGGGCTGGGAAGAATTAGATGAGTGGTTCTTTTGACATATATATGAATTAATTTAGGCCTTTAGGTCTGGGAATGAAATAAATTTAAAAAAAATTATGTGAGAGCTATAGTGTGTGGGTATATAGTAGTGGGGATAGGTGTGGGGCTGGAAATTATTAATAAAGTTTGCAAACGTGCCCCATACTTGATGACTGTGTGGTTTGGTTTGGGCAGATACCTATCATAACTATTAAGGGAGATTTAAAACTTTATTTTGCTGATTATTATTACTTTTTTTGGTGAGATAATTGTATGCAAGTCTTCATCAGTTTATGCATGAATGACTTTTTAATGACCGTACCAAATCATCCAAACACATTTGTAAGCCTGT